GCTGCAAAAGAGCAAATACAGCGGATCAGACCCACAGCTCAACCACAACTACAGCAGCATCTATGTGACTATGGAGAAAACACTTCATCCTTGTTGTGATAAACAAGGGAAAACACAAGAGGTAGCAGTTTACGGGTTATAAGACATCCTTATTTGGCGAAACAGGATGTCGCCACGGGTCACCTTTGACGATGAGAGTGAGAGTGACTATTCCATCGCACTGATCAGCTACCGCCCGTCTCAAACTGGGCAGCCCCCAGTCAGCAAGGTGCTGATCCGCCACGTATGTTTGCTTCTATGGGTGTATGGGGCTAGGACAAAAACCGAAAGCCAGGCGTTAAACCCAGCACCAGGCAAAAAAGAGTAAAACTAACCCCATGAAAACTGGGGACCTGGAAAGTAAGAACAATGGCAACCGGACTGGACACTATCAATCTGGAGAAAACAGACGACATAAAAAAGACAGCAGTCATAGACAGGGAGCTTACACGACTCAGTAGACATCACTGCCCTGCAAGAGACAAGACTTGCTAACTCTTGTACAATCAGGGGAAAAAAACTACACATTATTCAGGAAGGGTCTTGGGGAAGACGAGAGGAGAATCCATGGTGTGGGCTTTGCAGTTCACAACAGAATCCTGAACAGGATCAGCACCCCACATGGTATATCTGAACGTATCACTGTCATGGAAATCAAAACTGGAAAGGCTCACTTCATCAGCGCCTACGCCCCAACCCTAACAACAGAAAATGAGAAAAAAGACCAGTTTTTCGAGGAACTTCAGGATGCAATCAACAACGTCCCAAAAGCAGACCAACTGTTTCTCATGGGCGACTTCAATGTATGAGTAGGTACTGAAAACACATTACGGCCCACCTGCCTTGGACCTTTTGGGCTGGGAAAAATCAATGAGAAAGGTCAGAGACTCTTAAAATTCTGCACAAATGACAAACTTTGCATCGATAACACCTTCCACAGTGGCAAGGATAGACACAGGGTTTCTTGGTGCCATCAAAGATCAGGCCATTGGCACCAAATCGATTTCATCATCGCCAGAAAGAAAGGTTGCAACACGGTAAAGCTAACAAGATCCTTTTACAGTGCAGACTGCAACACAGATCACCTTTTAGTTATAACTAAGGCAAAGATAGTCACAAAGAAAACACCAAGAGCTGAAAAACAAAAGAAACCTAAGATCAACATAAGAAGTACCAAAGACCCAAATTTAAAGTCAAAATTTCAAGAACATGTCAAAGAACAGCTCCAACATCTAGATAGCTCATCACCAGACAACATGTGGAATAGCATGAAATCAACAATTTACAATTTTTCGTCAATTACCTTTGGAATAGAAAGACCTTGCGGGGTGGATTGGATTAAAGCCAGTGCATCAACACTAGCACCACTACTCGAGAAAAACCGTGAGATCCTGATAGAACACAACACAAATCCAATAGAGAGTACAAAGCAACAACTACGTGCTGCTAAATCTAACCTTCAAAGAGAAACCAGAAAGTGCGCCAGTCAGTACTGGGAGAAATTATTCTCAGAAATCCAACAGGCCAGCGATACAGGTAATATCAGGAGAATGTATGAAAACATCAGAGTTGCTATTGGACCAAGAGCGAACAAAGTGGCACCTCCAAAGTCTGCGACAGGGAAACAGCTGACAGACAAGAAGAAACAAATGGAAAGGTGGGGGTAACATTAGTCAGACTTATACTCGAAGGAGCGACATATTGATAGAAACTACACGAGGCCATTCCTCAGCTCTCCGAAATGTCAGAACTTGACACAACACCAACAGAAGAACTCTCTTCTGCAATCGATGAACTCGCTTGTAGAAAAGCAGCAGGAAATGACAACATACCCGCTGAAGTGCTGAAAGAGAACAAAGAGACCCTCCTCCCATATCTCTACAAGATACTAACAATTTGTTTGCTTAAAGCAGAAATTACACATAACCTTAGAGGTGCCAAAATCGCCACACTCTACAAAAGCAAAGGTAACAAAGGAGATTGCAACAACTACAGAGGTATCTCTCTGCTAATCATCACTGGAAAAGCTTTAATAGCTAGGATAATCCAGAAGCGACTTCAGAAACTAGCAGAAAGAGTCCTACCAGAGAGCCAGTGCGATTTCAGATCAAACCATTCAACAATGGACATGATCTTTTCTCTTCGTCAGCTACAAGAAAAATGCAAGGAGCAGCAACTGCCATTACATACTGCGTTCATCGATCTAACAAAGGCTGTCGATACAGTCAGAAGATCAGGACTGTACATGGTGCTTGAAAAAAATTGACTGTAACCCAATACTGCTACAGTTCATCATCTCATTCCACGAAGATATGAAGGCTACCATTCAGTTTGACGGTTCAACATCAAACAGTTTCAACATCAATAGCGGAGTAAAGCAAGGCTGTGTCTTAGCGCCAACCCTTTTCAGCGTATATTTCACAGTCTTACAGCAACACGTATTCAAAGAGTCACCAGGGGATTTCTTCCTCCACTGGAGAACTGATGGGTCGCTCTTCAATCTTGCTCGGCTCCAGGCCAAGACCAAGATCAACAAAACAACAGTACGAGACCTTCTCTTCGCCGATGATGTTGCTCTTGTTGCTCACAGTGAATCAACGCTACAAACTATGATGGACCGCTTATCACAAGCATGCAAAGTCTTTAGCTTGGTCTTCAGTGTTAAGAAAACAGCCATCCTTTCTCAAGAAGGTGCAGAGCAGAGCCATATATGGCTGAACGACAAGGAACTTGAGACAGTGGACTAGTTCTGTTACCTGGGGTCTACCATCAGCTCTACAACATCACTTGATTATGAGATCCACATCAGGATCGGGAAAGCAGCAACAACTTTTGGAAGGCTAACAAAACGAGCATGGGAAAACAAAAGATTAACCATCAAAATAAAGATCAAGATTTACGAAGCATGTGTCCTCAGCACACTCCTTTATGGATCTGAAACATCGACTTTGTATGGCAGACAAGAAAAGCACCTCGACATTTTCCATCTCAGATGCTGCCGCAAGAGCTTAGGCATTTCGTGGCGTGACAAGGTTACTTTAATGTTGAAGTGTTTGCACGGGCAAACCTCCAGAGCATGACAACTATCTTGTGTTTAAAAAGATTGAGATGGTTGGGCC